AGTTGACCCAGGGTAACAGTGTTGAGACATGGGTTAGGATTTAGAATTCTTAGAAATTCCTCCTATCTTAGTAGTTTTAGTTCTCCGATAAATTCATTATGCTATTGTAGGATTTATGGTAGAAATAGTGGTACATATACCTACAGGGAAGCTGTATTTAAAGGTAGTTCACTTTGAATTCAGTGAATTCTAGAGTCATCTTCAGAGCAGCATCATTGGTAGATTTGGGGCCATTGTTCTTTACACACACACACACACACATACACACGTGCATTCACACATACACATACACCACGCTTTATTTGCTAATATGGAGCAGTGCCTCTTCTACATATTTTTCTGATTGCTGTATCTGCCAGTATCTTTATGAATAGGTCGTTAAAACTTAGAGGCTGAAGGATCTTTGATTTTTTATCTGAAGGATCATATGTTTGTTTTAGTTTGTAGTTTGTCAATTTTCTAAAGTTCTTCTAACATTTTCTTTCAGCTCTGTGTTGGAAATCATCCAAATTTGCAATTTTCTGTTCCATTTTTTTTTAAATCCTGTATTTTAGATTTTAGCCTATTAAGAAAAAGAGGGGGCAGGTTCTTTTTACATTGCCTCTGGGGTCTATCCCACAATACAGGTTGAATGCCTTGAAGACAGTTTCTTATGTCTCCTATTTATCAGTCCATTCCTTGTTTGCAACCTAGAATTTTAGTCTAAGTTTTAAAGGAAGGGCACCAAAAAAGGCTTTATTTATCACCCGGTTTTCTTGCTTTCTCTAGTCCCTGTTGAACGTTTTGGAAGGTTTTTTATTTTTTTTCTTTTTTCCAGCCACTTTTCAACTATTTTTATCCATCTGAGGGGCTACAAGTAAATGGAATCATTAATATAAGCCTGGGAATCCTGGACAGTTTCTTAATAGAATGAAATTCAGTAGCAGCCATTAGTCTGTCTGCCTTTGGGTTTTTGAAAGTCTTTTATTGTGACCGTTAGCCCTAAACTGTACCTTAACTTAGTTTCCATTGGTTTACCTACCATTGTAACAGTCTTAAGTGGGTATGGGTCATTGGTTGTTTTCTTGGGGGAAGACCTTGAGGAAAGGATATTTCACTTAGGATTCTAGGGGTGGCAGTAGAGGGGAACAGAGGGAATATAGGTAAAGGTGGTGATGCTAAAACATGATAATGTTGGATGCATAAGGAGGGCAGGTTTCAGATAATTTGAATGCTTTTTTTTCTTTGGTCTTTGCTAGAGAACTTTAAAGGGATGCTACTTTGAAGTTTGGGTTTAATTTTGAGGCCTCAGCATACCAGTCAAAAAGACTGGCCATTGTGTATTTGGTACTTTTTTTCCTTTCTTTTCTAGAGCTTCTTTTAGTTGTATTATCTTTAACATGTCCAAAATTACCAGTAATAGCTAAGGTAATTATAAACATCCTTGGAGAAATTGTGCCATCTAGCCTGGTAAGCAGAATAACTAGGATTATAATAAGAGTGTATATAGGGGCAGGAGTTCTGCCAGGAGAAGTTTGTATCTTAGATGTAGAGAAACCCACATCAATACACAAACTACATAAAATAAGATCAAGTGATGCTTATAAAATGGTGGCTAGGGGGGCTTCCCTGGTGGAGCAGTGGTTAAGAATCCGCCTGTCAATGCAGGGGACATGGATTCGAGCCCTCATCTGGGAAGATCCCACATGCCGCGGAGCAATGAAGCCTGTGCGCCACAGCTACTGAGCCTGTGCTCTAGAGCCCGCGAGCCACAACTACTGAGTCCTCGTGCCACAACTACTGAAGCCTGCGTGCCTAGAGCCCGTGCTCCACGACAAGAGAAGCCACCGCAGTGAGAAGCCTGTGCACTGCAATGAAGAGTAGCCCCCACTTGTCGCAACTAGAGAAAGCCCTTACACAGTAACGAAGACCCAATGCAGCCATAAATGAATGAATAAATGAATGAATGGTGGCTAGGGACCATGATTTAGTCCCTAGAGTACAGAAATGTTAACCTTTAACCCCAGAGTACAGAAATGAAGGAGAAAGTCCTTCTACATTAAACAAAGTGGTCTCTCTTTTAATTAATCTCTTCATGAAGGCTTTTAGAGAGGCTTATGGCAAAGTTTTTTGCTCCAGAGAGCAGATACTGGTCTATTGGGTCTCTTGTATCCATCAGTTTGACTAGATAGCAATTAGTAGAGTCTGTGCCATCATTTGATCCTCTGAAGATTGAATGATAGAGAAAAGACAGTATTTCATGAAGGAGAAGTTTTCTGTCACAAAATTCTTTGAATTTATGATTCCCGCACTCAGGGAGGTACTCAAAGAACCACAGGCTACTAATCATAGGATAACAAACTCAGCTAGATCAGTGACCAGAGCTCTGTGAAAAATTGCTCAGATTTCAGGCTACTGTTGGGACACTGATCAGGAATCATGATGGAGCTGAAAGATAATTGTATTTCAAGCACAGAAGATTCAAGGAATGTTTGCTTGTTTGGGAGTCCACTGGTTCTGATAAGCAAAATGAGTGAGTCTTCAAGGTAGACTCAGTGGACAGCCTCAAAATTATAAACAAAAGCCATGACTGGGGCTTCCCTGGTGGCGCAGTGGTTGAGAGTCCGCCTGCCGATGCAGGGGACACGGGTTCGTGCCCTGGTCCGGGAGGATCCCACATGCCGCGGAGCGGATGGGCCCGTGAGCCGTGGCCGCTGGCCCTGCGCGTCCGGAGCCTGTGCTCCGCAGCAGAAGAGGCCGCAGCAGTGAGAGGCCCGCGTACCGCAAAAAAAAAAAAAAAAAAAAAAAAAAAAGCCATGACTCACTCAAATTTGAAAAATTTGAACATATTTATTTCAAATTTTTGCTTGCACAAGGGAGAAACCTCATGTGGAAATGTAGCTGTTTGTTGAAGAGACAATGTATATTGAATTTTAGAAGGGGCTAGAATTTAGGTTAAATTTCAGTGAAGTGCTTTTACTTATAAAAGCAAAGTAAGTTAATTGCTCATTGGGTGGGTTCTTGAGAGCAGGTTTTCTTTTTTAATTAATTATTTTTGGCTGCGTTGGGTCTTTGTTGCAGTGCGTGGGCTTCTCATTGCAGTGGCTTCTCTTGTTGCGGAACACGGGCTCTACGTGTGTGGGCTTCAGTAGTTGTGACGCATGGGCTCAGCAGTTGTGGCTCCCGGGCTCTAGAGTGCAGGCTCAGTAGTTGTGGTGCACGGGCTTAGTTGCTCGGCAGCATGTACGATCTTCCCGGACCAGGGCCCGAACCCGTGTCCCCTGCATTGGCAGGCAAATTCTTAACCATTGTGCTAACAGGGAAGTCCAAGAGCAGGTATTTTTAAATGGTGGCTGCTAAAAGTGTGAAATTCAGCATCCTGGATACAAATAGATCATGTCCTTCACTGTTTATGTGCCAGTGTAGAATATATGCCATACTGTGATTGTGCAAGTTGTGTCTTTAGGCAAGTGTGATATTTTTCCTTCTCACTATCTACTGGACGACTCTACCTCCCTCAGTCCTCCATTAAATAACTGGAACTCAGTGTGTGTAGCAGCTCCACTTCTCTTCTAACCCACACCTTCCTTCTGTGTTCTATCTCAGTAAAGGATGGTTGCTTTCCTAAAATCTTATTTGACCCTTCCCTCTTAGACTAGTGTCGCATGTATCACGTAGTGATCTGTCTGATTCTTTCTGTCTGTGCTTTGCTGCTTTGGTTCAGATAGTTAATATCACTGAGGTTTTTTAACAGCCTCCTCATTGTTCTTTTTACTGCTAGTTGCTTTCTATTCTGTCTTCTACATACTGCTTGAATTTCTTTGAAACTATTTGATCATGTCACTCTCTTGTTTAAAACTTGCAGTGCCTTCCAGACTCATACCTACATACATGTTGCTCGACTTTGCCTGGAACCCTGTTTCTTTTGTACTCCCATCCCAGTGTAGTATTTTTTTTAAGGCTGTTTAATCTCCATTTAAGCCTTCCCTGACTCCTTAAATTTCCTGATTCTTCTTTGTAATTCCATATTGTTTTTTCCATATGGTTGCTTAGACTCGATCTTGTCAGTTTGTAGTTTAGCTGTTTACACACATTTCTTTGTTTATAGGCTATGAATTCTGAGGCAAGGACCTAGAGCAATTCTGCTTGGCCAATAATAGATGCTTACTAAATACTTGAATGATTGGAGCCTCTTCCTTTGCCCTAGAGGAGTGAGTTGTCTGAGACCATCTTCCTTACATGTATACTAGATCTCGTCCCCCTATTCAAAGACAGGCAGAGAAGTTGGCTGTACGTTGTTCATTCATAACAAGAGGAAAGTCACAGTGGTGAGGAGACCTTGAAATTGTGTCACATGGTGAGCAGTAGGAGGAACTAGGATATTTAGCCAGAAGTAAAGAAAAATCAGGTGGAATATGATAACAGTGTCCAAATATTTGAAAGACTGTTGTGTAGAAAAATTATTTGACTTAGTCAGTTTGCCTCCAGAGGACAGCTGTAAGGTGAATAGGAAGCAGTTTTGGGCTCATCATTAGGAGGAGATAAGCTGACTTATTAGAAAGGGGATTTTTCATGAGTGGAGCTGTGAAAGTAGAGGCAGAATGACCTGTGGCTAAAAGTGCTTTAAAGTAGATTTTGTTGTATCTTTGGCAAAAGTTGGACTAGATGTCCATGCTGAAGAGTCTGAGATTTTCCTGACAGTTCTAAGTTCCATGACTGCCAGTTTCAGAAAGATACTTCTTATTTTGGGTGAAGAGAGTTTCCTATACATCAGTAATAATTAAGCATTCTCTGTGTGCGAGCTGTTAGGCATTCAGAGATCAGTGATAACTTCTTGCTCTCAAGTAGCTTGTATTTATAAATGGAAAGATTCTTGAGCTTTTCTTCTTCTTCATTCTTGAGGAGCCAGTGAGTAATTTCTGTTGGTTTTACTCTCAGGATTTACAATTTCCAAAAATTAGTTTTGAGATTTACTTCCCTTTCAGATACTAAAATTGGTTTTCTCTCTTCTTTATTCCTAGCAATGTCTCAGGCTGTGCAGACAAACGGAACTCAACCATTAAGCAAAACATGGGAACTCAGTTTATATGAATTACAACGAACACCTCAGGTAATATAGATTAAGATAACTTAGGGGAAATATGAGGCATATAAACTGGGATATAGTTTTAGAAAGTGAAAACTTGAAAGAACATAACAGTAATAATAAATTTGTATACAGTTCTAATTTATGTATGTTTGGTTGACACTTCATTTCTTGAACAAATAATTTGAGTGCATATTCTGTACCAGGTCCTAAGCTAGGCAATAGGTAAAGTGGTGAAAAAACAGATGTGGCACCAGCCCAGGGAGTTTATGGACATCAGACAAGTAAATTACACATATGAGAAGTTATGTAAAGGGAAGGTCCTTAATGCTGTAATAAATAATAAAGGGAGAACCAGGGAAGACTATTTTGAGAATGTGAAGATGGGAAAGACTGGGAGAGGAACAGGTTTGAAGGAGATAAACATGCTTAAAACTGAAGTCATTTTCAGTTTGAAATGCCTATAAGACAAGTAGAGATGCTACCTAGGGGTCTGGACTAAATATAAAGTTTTATGACTTGTCAGTACATTTTAAGCATGAGAATGCCAGATCACCTAGAGAGAGATGAGCAGAAGGCCCAGAACTTCATCCAGAGGAGCTTCAAGATTTAGAAATTGAGTAATGGAAAAGGAGCCAGCAAAGGAGACTGAGAAGGAACAGCCAAAGAAAAGTAAGGAAAAATGGAAGATGAAGTGAGGGGATCAAAACATAGGACAAAGTGTTTCAAGGAGGATGCAGTTACTGTGTTCAGTACTACTGAGAGGATGAATAAGATGAAGATTACAAAAGTGAGCACTAGAGTTGGCCGTATATACTTGGTGACCTTGACCAGGGTAGATTCACTTGAGTAGGTTTTGCTGTGTTAAAGGGGGCGGGGGAGGTGAAAATGAATAGGTAATGTTTCAGAGAAGTTTGGCTGTGCAGAGAAACAGAGAAATGGAGTGAAAACTTGAGGGCAACATAGAATCAGGAAGTTATTTAAATTTTGTTTTGTTAATAAGATGAGAGATGGAACCACCCTCACCCCACGCTCCTCTACACACAGCTCTAAGCTCATCATTCACATTTCACTATGCAGCAACCCTATATTAATCTAGGCTGATTTAGTGAAGAGGGAGAGATTGCTGAAGTCTGAGATCAAATAGAAATCCAAAGAGGGATATACTTGAAAAGGTAGGAAGGAATGGGCATGTGATAGGAAGAGGTGTACTTTCTCCTTGTAAGAAGAAAGAGGAAGATGCTTTATAAAGATTTGGTAGAGAGAAAACGAGAGAGTTCTTTAAATGAAATTTGAGGTAAGGTAAATTAATCTATTGAACATTTAGGTGGTAGGTCTGCAGATAGAAGAAAAGTTGTAAAATAGTGTAGTGAAAAGAAAAATGAGTTTTTAGTGATATCAGTCTGGTTGTGTGATTCCTCCCTTTTTTTCCCCTGCAGTGGCCGTGCAGATGCACAGGTATAGGCATGGAAAATATGGATGGATGGTTTATCCAGGGTTCAGATTTTGCTAGGCAAGTTGTAAAGAGGAAGAGGGGACCAGACTTGATTACTAGCTAAGTCATCATCATACTCTCTGTGTGATTTATAAAATCGAGGTTATAATTCCTAAATCAAAAGTTTGTGTGTATATTAAACTAAGTAAAATACAGAACGTGCTTTATATAGAGAGGTTGAAACATAATGGATACTTGATAATGGACAATATCTATAGTTTCGATGTCTTTCCTTGTGGGGTCATCAATCTTTGACCCTATAGAGAAAACACAAGTACGACGGAGAGCCAGTGGAGACAGGAAGTGTCAGTAACATATGGAAGCCCCTTATTCTACCTGCATCTTCCTTTTCAGTGGCCACATACTAGACCTTTTTCCTCAATCCATAGGAGCCTGTATTGGTGCCTTTAGAGCTACATAATCTTTGTTCTCAGTGCCACCTTGTGGGAAGGGCGAGTAGTGGTAGTGGCAAAGAAAGTAGGAGTCACTAATCTGTGCATTTGGGAGGTTTGTCCTGAATTCCACATTGGAACTCCAAATGCATTTTCGCACTGAAAACATTTTTAGACATGACAATTAGAAATACTAATACTTTTTATACTTCAGAGGTGCTATGGTTTAAATCAGTTTGTAGGCTAGCTTGAGAACCTGACCACTTGGTATAAAACTGCTCTGTGGATCAAGACTTTTTAAGGTTCAAAAGGTGATTTTAAAATTAAATCCTGTTAAGCTGTGTATAAATAGGGAATACTTGTGTTTGAATTTTAAAATCTTTTAATGGACGACATGAAATGTATAGTTCATTATCAAAATGGTGCAGTTTTGCAGATGGAAGAAGTTTTAGGGTTCATTTAGCTTAACTTCCTCATTTTGCAGGTAAGAAGACAATGTTAAAACTAATTATTTAGTGTCACAAAGCTAGTTGTAGAACTAATAGAACCTAAGCCATCTGATTCCGTATTCAATGCTTTTTTTATTGCTATACAGGGTAATTTAACATAAGTTATCTTTTAAATATATAATATGTTATCTTTAGCATTAAAATAAGGGCATTTATATAATGCTTTGGTGCTGGGGCTGAGGGGAGTTGGAGGAGATTATAGCTAAAACAAGATTGGTTGTGAGTTGACAGTGATGGTGACTGGGTGATGGGTATATAGATGTTCATTTTTGTCATTTTCTATGTTCTTACGTTTGAACTTGTCCATAATTTTTTTTTTAATTAGGTAGCATTTAATTTTAAAGTGATGCTTTTTACAGGAGGCAATAACAGATGGCTTGGAAATTGTGGTTTCACCTCGAAGTCTACACAGTGAATTAATGTGCCCAATTTGTTTGGATATGTTGAAGAACACCATGACTACAAAAGAGTGTTTACATCGTTTTTGTGCAGACTGCATTATCACAGCCCTCAGAAGTGGGTATGTTAAAATGAATTATGCTAGGTACTTAAATTATACAAGGTGTTCTAGTGCTCTGTGAGTTTTGAGAAATACATTTTTCTATAAGTGTTCATTTGAGAATTGGAAATTTATCTAAAGTCTAGGTTTTAATTATTGGAGAATCTTTATTTTGAAACAGTTGATTTTATATAGTTTTAGAAGCTTTTTAGGATGAGTTTTTGTTTTGAGGAAATTACAAAGCATGAAACCATGGTTTTCTCACTTCTTAAGTATATAAAATAATGTCCTGATTAATATTTTAATAAAATAATTCATAACATATAAATTAATATATATTAGTGGATAGTTTTTCCATGTATAGCGTGGATATCAGAAACAGGAAATTTAGGAAGGAATAGATTTTTATTTCTAAAATGGTTATATATAATTTATCATGGGGAAGTATTTAGTTTTTTCTCTATTGGCAAGTAGTATGGAGGGTCTCAGGTTTCAAAAATCTTGCTTAGTCACTAGTCAGATATTCAAGGAAAGTCAGGTTAATCAGTTTAAGTTTCTGCGACTTAGTAAAGCTATTGGAATAAAGATGATAATTATCTGGAAGCTGGCTATTTTTGTCTTTAGCCTAAAGATACTGGCATTATTTACATTTTCTTTTCTCTCTTTTTATTTAGCAATAAAGAATGCCCTACCTGTCGGAAAAAGCTAGTTTCCAAAAGATCACTAAGACCAGACCCAAACTTTGATGCACTCATCAGCAAAATTTATCCAAGTCGTGATGAGTATGAAGCTCATCAAGAAAGAGTATTAGCCAGGATCAACAAGCACAATAATCAGCAAGCACTCAGTCACAGCATTGAGGAAGGACTGAAGATACAGGCCATGAACAGGTATATGGGAGAGAAGGCCAGGCAGGGTGGCCATTTTTCCAAATACTCTATTAAATACTGAATTAACACCCTCCATTTTGAGAAAGATAAAATGCAGTAACAAATAGTAGTTCTGTGTGGTTACCTTTTCTTGAAGGTATAAAATATGTCTCTAGGCATAATACGGTATTCCATTTAAAGTACTAGAGTCTTAAAAAAAACAAAACAAGACAAATACCCTGTATACCCACTTCTCCCTCCACTTACCATTGTATTTCTTCTCTTTAAAAGAGTTGTCTGTGTTTACTATATCCAATACTTCTACTGTCCCATTTTGAACTCCCCCAGTCAGGCTTTATCCCAATGCCTCATATCACCCTTTTTGAAGTTACCATTGACCTCCGCATTGCAAAACCCAGTTGCTGATTCTCAGATCTCATCTTACTTAGCAGCATTTTATACAGTTAATTTCTCTTTTCTCTTTGACTGGTTTTCTTCCTCTGGCTTTCAAGAGACGATATTCTCCTGGTTCCCTTTGTATGTCGTTAGTTGTTGCTTATTTCAATCTTAACATGTACAGTACTGAACTTGTAATTCTTATCCCCTACTTCTCTTCATTCTTGCTCATTTTAGTTGATGGCAACTCCATCATCCTACTTGCTTTAGCCAAAAACTTTGGAGTTACCTTTAACCTCTCTCTTTTTTCCCAGTCCATATTCCAGTTTGTGAATAAATATATTTTTAGCTTTTTCCATAATATATCCAAATTGGTCTAGGCAACCACCATCTTTCATTTGAAAGTGTTGAAATAGCCTCCCAATTGGTCTTTCAACTTTCCATGCTTACCTCCACATTGTCTGTTGTCAGCACAGCAGCCAGAGTGATAAACTGGAAGTCAGGTCATAGTTCTCCTTTGCTTTGAAGCCTCTAATAGCTTCTATTCACATTCAGGTTAAAAGACTTTAATGATAGCTTCCAAGACCCTATATAATCTGAGCACTTTCCTCACCCCTATTCTCTTTTCTGCTCTGACATCTCCTGATAGGTTTAGGCCTCAGGGAGAGTCAGCATCTTCCAAAGCCACATTGCAATAAAGCCAGCCACCAATAAAGCCACATCCCAATCTAGTGGCTTTCACCTTGGCTGAATATCAGAATCTCTTGGAAAGCTTTTAAATCCTAGGGCCTCAAAGGCATCACTCCAGACTAAGTAAATCAAAATCTTTGATTGGGGTACAGGCATTCGTGTTTTAAAGGTTCCAGAAGTGGTTCTGAAGAGCAAACTTTTAGTCTTTTACCAGGAGAAAGAATCCCCTTCATAAAATCCTTTATAGATAGACCTTTGATTTTGCTTGAACATTTCTAGTGGTGGGAGTATGTGATAGAAGCTTCTTTCATTTGTTAATAACTTTATTAAAGCTTCTTGGCTGTTTTTGAGACTTAGCAAGCTTGTTTCTGCCTCAGGGCCTTTATACTTCCTGTTCTCTCTTTCAGGAACCCTCTTCTTCTAGATAGTCCACATGGCACACACTCATTCTTCAGGTGTCTGCTAAGTTCCCGTCTTCCACCCCAGGACTCCATACTTTCTTACCCTCTCTGCCTCATTTTTCTTCATAGCACTTATCATTCTCTGAACATGTGTGTGTTATTTGCTGTACTAGAATAATATAAGCCCTAAGAGGGTAGAGACTCTGTGAGTATTACTGATTCTTACAACACCAGTACATAGAACTACGTTTGGCTTAAAGTAAGAAAATAGTTTTGTATGAATATATATATTTTTAAAGTTCTTCCCTTATATTGAATTAAAATTAGTCTTTTGTGTGTAGCAGTCTTGATATGTCTTTGTCAAAATACTTATGTTGGGTTCTATATTTATTTCAGATTCTGCTTCTGTCTACTAGTCCTCAAATAATTTCATATAAATATACATTCTTAATATGCTCCTGTAAAGGCTAAATATTTACATTCCTAATTTCTTTTATTCCTCATATGACATTCAAGTTTGTTGGTGTATAATTCTTGAAATGCTACCTCTAGAACAGTATGTAGTGTTATGGATATGATTTGATAAATGCAGGATATGATAGGCTATTGATCTACCTCCATTATCTGAACATTATTTTATGAATGCTGCCTGAAATTACATTAATCTAGCTCTGTTATTTGGAAAGAAGTGTGAGGTAAAAATAAATACATTAGACAAGTAACCCTGTTGAGTTTTTTGTTTGTTTCATTATTTTAGTCTTTCCATATCACAGTAGAAAATTATGATAAAAAACATAAAATTTACCATATTCAGCATTTTTAAATACACAGTGCAGTATTGTAAGTACATTCACACAGTTGTACAATCAATTTCCAGAACGCTTTTCATCTTATGAAACAAACTCTGCACCCATTAAGCGACAGTTCCTCATTTCTTCCTCCTCTCCTCAGCTCCTGGTAACCACCATTCTACTTTGTGTTTCTGTGATTTTGATTACTTTAAATACCTCATATATGTGGAATCATACAGTATTTGTCTTTCTGTGATCGGCTTAATGTCTTCAAAGTTTATCCATGTTGTAGCACCTGTAGAATTTCCTTCCTTTTTAAGACTAATCCATTGTATATGTTCACATTTTTTTTTTCATAAATTTATTTATTTTTGGCTGCGTTGGGTGTTTGTTGCTGCACACAGCCTTTCTCTAGTTGTGATGAGCAGGGGCTACTCTTCATTGCAGTGTGCGTGCTTCTCATTGTGGTGGCTTCTCTTGTTGCGGTGGCTTCTATTGTTGCGGAGCAGGGGCTCTAGGCGTGCAGGCTTCAGTAGTTGTCGTGTGCAGGCTCAGTAGTTGTGGTTTGCGGGCTCTAGAGCACAGGCTCAGTAGTTGTGGCACACAGGCTTAGTTGCTCTGCAGCATGTGGGATCTTCTAGGACTAGGGATCGAACCTGTGTCCCCTGCATTGTCAGGCAGATTCTTAACCAGTGTGCCACCAGGGAAGTCCCAGTGTTCATATATCTTTGAATCATAGTTTTGTCAATTAACATATTAGTCACCCCCTCTTAATTTTGAAATGCTGTATAGATTTCATAAACAGTATTTTATTTTTGGGGGGGGGAAGTTCTTGAGCATCTTTCTTAAGCAATGATGCTCACTCTCACCACTTCTATTCAACATGGTATTGGAAGTCCTAGCCACAGCAGTCAAAAAAAAAAAAAAGAAAGGGAGGGAGGGTATCCAAATAGTAAGGGAAGAGGTAAAATTGTCATTATATGCAAATGACATAATACTCTATAGAAAACTGTAAAGACTCCACACAAAAACTATTAGAACTAATAAATGAATTCAGCAGAGTCGCAGGATACAAGATTAATATACAGAAATCTGTTACATTTCTTTACACTAACAACGAAATATCAGAAAGAAAGTAACAAAACAGAACAATCCTGTTTAAAATTGCTTCAAAAAAAAAAAAAAACCCTAGGAATAAATTTAACCAAGGAAGTAAAAGACCTATATGCTGAGAACTATAAAATTGATAAAGGAAATAGAAGATGATTCAAAGAAATGGAAAGACATCCCATGTTCTTGAATTGGAAGAATTAATATTGTTAAAATGGGCATACTACTCAAAGCAGTCTACATATTTAATGCTATCCCTGTCAAATTACCCATGGCATTTTTCACAGAACTAGAATAAATAATCCTAAAATTTATTTGAAATCACAAAAGACCTAGAATTGCCAAAGCAGTCCTGAGGAAAAAGAACAAAGCTGGAGGCATAACCCTCCCAGACTTCCGACAAGACTACGAAGCTACAGTTATGAAAACAGCATGGTACTGGTGCAAAAACAGACATACAGGTCAGTGGAACAGAATAAAGAGCCCAGAAATAAACCCACACAACCTGTGGTCAACTAATCTTTGACAAAGAAGGCAAGAATATACAATGGAGAAAAGAGTTTCTTTAGCAAGTGGTGTTGGGAAAGCTGAACAGCCACATGTAAATGCATGAAGTTAGAACATTGCTTCATACCATACACAAAAATAAACTAAAAATGTCTTAAAGACTTAAATATAAGACATGACACGATAAAACTCCTAGAAGAGAGTATAGGCAAAACATTCTCTGATGTAAATTGTAGAAGTATTTTTTTAGATCAGTCTCCCAAGGCAAAATAAATAAAAGCAAAAGTAAACAAATGAGACCTAATCAAACTTATAAGCTTGTGCACAGCAAAGGAAACCATAAACAAAACAAAAAGACAGCGTACAGACTGGGAGAAAATAGTTGCAAATGATGAGACTGACAAGGGCTTAATTTCAAAAATATATAAACACCTCATACAACTAAGTATCAAAAATCAAACAACCCAATCAAAAAATGGACAGAAGACCTAAATAGGCATTTCTCCAAAGAAGACATACAGGTAGCCAGCAGGCACATGAAAAGATGCTCAACATCACTGATTATTAGAGAAATGCAAATAAAAACTACAAGGAGGTATCACCGTACTCTGATCTGAATGGCCATCATCAAAAAGTCTACAAATAATAAATACTGGAGAAGGTGTGGAGAAAAGGGAGCCAGCCCTCCTACACTGTTGGTGGAAATGTAAGTTGGTGCAGCACTGTGGAGAACAGTATGGAGGTTCCTTAAAAAACTAAAAATAGGGCTTCCCTGGTGGCGCAGTGATTGAGAGTCCGCCTGCCGATGCAGGGGACACGGGTTCGTGCTCCGGTCCGGGAAGATCCCACATGCCGCGGAGCAGCTAGGCCCGTGAGCCATGGCCACTGAGCCTGCGCCTCCGGAGCCTGTGCTCCGCGATGGGAGAGGCCACAACAGTGAGAGGCCCGCGTACCACAAAAAAAAAAAAAAACAAACTAAAAATAGAGTTACTATATGATCTGGCAGTCCCATTCCAGGGCATATATCCAGAAAAGGTGAAAACTAATTCGAAAAGATACATGCATCCCAGTGTTCATTGTAGCACTGTTTACATTAGTCAAGACATGGAAGCAACCTAAGTGTCCATAACAGATGAATGGATAAAGAAGGTGTGGTATGTACACACACACACACACACACACACACACACACACACACAC